GCAGCCTCGGGTGAGAAGCCTGCTGGTAGCACTGGCTGGAAGGTGTATCCCAGCTCCCTGCTCACCTGGGAGCCAGGGCCAGCCCCCAAAGTGCCCATTCAGGCCTCCAGTCCCTATTCAGGGAAGAGCGTGTCTGCAGAGTTTTCATTAGCCTCTGCTGCCTCTGGCCTGGGCTTACTTAAGTCACCCAGAGTGGCAAGGGCGAGCAGGGCTGGGACAGGGCAAAGAAAAAAAGGATGTTGGGTCTTCACATACAAAACTTAACTCAAAATGGGTAAAGACCTAAATATAAAGAGCTAAAACTATAAAAGTCTTAGAAGAAAACAGAGCAAAAACAACCCAGTTAAAAATGGGCAAAGAATTTAAATGGATATTTCTCCAAAGAATATATGCAAATGGCCAATAAGTACAAGAAAATGTACTTGTCACTGATCATTAGGAAAATGCAATCAAAACTGCAATGATAACATTTCACACTCTTTAGACTAGTTATTATTTTAAAAAATAAAAAGTATTGGTCACGATCTGGAGAAATTGAAAACTTCATTGCCAGTTGGAATATAAAATAGTGTAGCCACTGGGGAAAATGAAATGGCCATTTGTCACATTAAACATAAAATTACTATATGATTCAGCATTTCCACTTCTGAGTATATACCCAGAAGAAATGAGCACTCAGAGATTTAGATGTTTGTATACCTAAGTAGCTAAAAAAAAGTAGTTGTGGGTAATTATTCCACTTATATGAGATATCTAGAGTAATCAAATTAATAGAGATAGAAAGTAGAATGGTGGATGCCAGGAGTTGGGGGGAGGGTGAGAATGGAGTATTTTTTTTAATGGATATTTTTATAAATTATCTATCTGATAAAGGTTAATATCCAGAATTACACAAATAATTTCAGTGTAGGAAAGTGAAAAAGTTTTGGAAATGGTGATGATGATTGTACAACTTAAGTGATTTTCTGTGGAAGACATTGCTACATTTTTGCCACACTGGCAATCCAGAGTCTGAATAGTTCTCTTTAGATATATCTGATGCCTTATTTCTGTTATTGATCTAGTAAAGAGAATTTAGTGATATAGAATCAAAGTATAGAATTTAATGGTAAATGAGTGTGTGTGTGTGTGTATACAATATATATGTATACATACATAAACACAAACACATATATGATAAATTTAATGACACTTTGGTTTAGTAATAGAGTGTACTAATAACTATACACTCTCTGCCTAAAAAACTAAAAAAGAAATAAAAATTAAAAAAAAGAAAAGAATAACTATACACTTGTCTGGATGTTGGATTTGGCATCATCAACACATTTTATGGTTGATTTTTCTTTTTTCTTGACCTATAGAATTTCCTTGGAAAGCATGAGTTCCCTCCTACAGAAAATGTTCTACAGCACTTAAGAAAAAATTGTGATAATAAGAAGATTTGATTAAATAGGCTTGATAAGTGAACTTCGGAATATGTGTCTTTTTAAGCTTCCAAAATAATTACTGATGATACATGTAGTACATTTTTATGACTTCATTGTAAAACATTTAAATTTATTTTCCCTGTTTTCACCAGGAAGAGTGAACCCATGCATGCTTTGGTAATAAGTTCTTCCGTGTTAGGTTAGAGTGTAAATTATAACCATTTTCAAAGTCCAGTTGTCTTGTTTTATAATAGAAACTTTTTAAATTTCTTTTTTAAAGTAACATACTGTTCAAAGTTGCAGTTTTACTAATAATAAGATGGACATTTAAATATGTGTTTTCTTCAAATGTTTAAAATATTTAGAGCATTTATTATTTGATTAAAGTTACCCATTTAACATTTATGTTTGATGTATGTACATTTAATAAAAGCTACGTTTACAATACCACTGCACCTGTAATAATTCCTGCAGGTTTGATGGCATTTTCCAAGTATTCTAGTAAATAACCTACCAGTGTTTATGTGGAACATACATGGATGGTATTTCAAAATTTTCCTTTCTACTGGGATTTTTGTTTTTTTATTTCATATATTAATTTGTCTTTAGTTATTACCAGATCCATCCTAAATTTCTATCAAGAATTGAGTTCCATAATGTAAAAAAATAATTTTAGCCCTGGCCGATGTGGCTCAGTTGGCATCAAAAGGTCACCAGTTTGATTTCTGGTCAGGGCACATGCCCAGCTTGCAGGCTCAATGGGAGGCAACCAATTGATGTATCTCTCTCACATCAACATTTCTCTCTTCCCCTCTCTCTCCTCTCTAAAACCAATAAAAACATATTTTGGGGGGGGGGGGATTTAAAACTCTTATTAAATGAAACTTGAGTCTCATTGGTTTCAGCCATACATCAAATTAATAGGATCCTAGAATTGTAGGCATTTTCCAAGTATATTTAACATGTAGGAGATTCCTTCCTACATGTTAAATTGCATGGTTATTTATATTAAAAGGCTACATTCAGAGTTAGCATTGAATAAAGTTGAAACATGGACTAAGACATTATTTTCTACATGGACTAGTGAAGTTCCAGGTAATTTTAACATTATTGCCACAGTGTGTGTACCCCCATTTTGGCATTCCCAAGAGAGTTTTAAACTTCTCTCAGACTGTATTATTGGAACATCAAAGAGCACTTTAGCTATATCAACTGGAATATACACATAATTATGTTTAGAAATAACTAGAGACCTAGAACTATCACACACACACAAAAAGTGAAACTAAAAATTTCCATTTGACTTTGCCTGATGCCAGTGTTAATTCTGGTGAAAGGAAATGATATGTGTAACCGAGATGCTCTATACAACAGGTTAGTTTCTTAAATAGTTCTACAGCCAGTGTTCCACTATTAGGAAAGAGAGCACCATAGTGTGTATGAGAGTTGTGAACTTCAAAAGCACATGAACTTGAGAAACACCCTTTATCTTGTTTGTGTAAGAGAAATGGGAGAAATGGCAAAGGCTTCCCATACCAACCTTGCCTCTTTGTGGTTGAGCTTCAAAGAGAAAACGTTGCAAATGGCTCCTGCTGAGAGTCCAGCAGCCCCCAGGTGCCATGGTGATGAGGATAGGCCCACCTCTGAGGAGATGAGAGGCCCACAGCCATGTGGGTGGAGGGAGAGTCTGAGCAAAGAGAAGCATGCTCTTACAGTGTAAGAATCCTAGTACAGGATACACAGTGGCACTGGCCCAGGGTTGGGCCCCACTCACCTCCCCCAACCACCCGTGCCCTTCTCACATGGCATGGTCCCTGCACTGCCCCTTTGCTCTGGCCTGCAGTCCTCTTACACCCTCTTCTTCCCAGCTCTCAAGACTTACACCACAGCCCGGCCTGCATGCCCAGTGGTTGTCAACCTATGAGCCAGGATGTCACAGTTCAATTCCTAGTTAGGGCACATGCCCAGGTTGTGGGTTTGACCCCCAGTGTGAGGCTTGCAGGAGGCAGCAACCAATGATTCTGGCATCATTGTTGTTTCTATCTCCCTTTCTCAAATCATTAAAAACATTTTTTTAAGACACTACAGCTGAGTCAGGTGTGTGTGGGGGGGGGGGGGGTCCTGTATCACGACATGCATGTTATCACTTGAGATTTGGAGAAGTTGCGCCACTAGCTTCACCAACTGAAAGGCAGGACCTGCATTGTCTGCTGACCACATAGTAAGGATTCAAATGTCTGTTGAATACAGCGGGAGGCCAGGCCACACAATGGTGGCAAGAGGGACTAATCAAGTCAAGAGAGCATGTGCCACTCCCCACCACCTGATGCAGACCCTCCCTCAGTACAGTTGGGGTCGCTAGGCCATAGATGTGCTGACATGCCCCAGTGCTCCAGCCCTTGTGTGGAGTGGATGGATGACCAGCTGCCTCCTGTTCTCTAAACTGACAGCAGGTGGCTCTGTTCCCTTTCATTTAGCACAAGGAAATGCTCTTTCACTCCACACCACTGTGCTTCAGGCTCCATCCTTTTCAGCCAGAAAAGTAACCACTGCACCAAGGGAGTGGTTGGTTGGTTGATTAGCACGAGCATAAATTTACTCACTTGCTCAAAGGTCTTGGAATAGGCTGTTACAAGAAGAACAATTGTGAGGGGAGACCCAGCCACTAGACAAGCTGTGAGAGCTCGGCTGCCAGGCCTAAGTTTAGGTGTCCCTGTCCAACCTGCATCAGGAAACCTCCTCCCCCAGGCTTTCCCTGGGATGTGTGTCACCCCAGGGAGCCCTTCTCTGCTCACTCTGCTTGTAAGGCAAATATAATGCTGTCATCTTTCTCATAAGTTCAGAGTCAGAACTTGACCTTAGGCCCTAGCAGTCTCCAGGCCTCTCACCTCCTATTCTTACTAGCAAGTCCATCGCGGGCCACCTTTCAGCCCAGGCAAAGAGCCATTCCTCTGGCCGCAGGACCTTTATGCGAGCCTGCTGCCTCCTCCTCCCTGTGCCACGCTGTTCCTCATCCCATACTAGGTGCTAGTATTCACTCCAGTTCCTCATTGATCCTGTGTCCTTTTTTGATTCCTGTAAATCTCCCCAAGCGCCAAGCTTGTCCCCACGAGATACTCAGGGACTGCACCTTGGGGACGGGGTGGGAAGACTGGTACTGTCGCCCTACTTTTTCGTTTGTCTCTTCGTTCTGGTTCTGGGAACATTTCAGGAGCCCGCTGCATCGGTTGCAGGGCCCGGCCTCCCCCGGAGGCCTAGAGTGCATCTCCCCGCGCGGGTCTCGCGACACGCCCCTGGGGCGTAGCCCTCCCCTGGCCGGGCCCGCACTCCCTCACCCCGGTCCCTCGCTGCTGCAGTCGCCTCCCAGCGCCCCGGCTGCAGGTGTTGGCCGCCCGGCTCCCCTCTCGGTGGCGCTCACCGCCGTCCCGCCCGCCGGGCTTCCGCCCCCCGGGAGCCGCAGTGGGCCGGACGGGATCTCCCACGGATCCGATCCCGATCCCGCCCCTGGAGCTGCGACGACTCAAGACCTCGGCCGGTCTCGCGGCTGGCGGACTCGGCTCCGTAGCACGCGTCATGGCCCCGGCCCTGCGCAGCCTCCAGCGGCGCAGCCTCTGGCTGCTCCTGGGTGAGTAGGGCTGGGTCCCGGCTGCCCCAACACCCCGGCAGGCAACCCCCGTCCCCCCTGCCGTGCCCAACTCGCCCGCCCCGCGCCCTCGAAGGGAGGCGAGTGCCGAGAGCTCACTGGTTGCAACTGGCTGGCTGGCTGGGAATCGAGGTCCCCGGGCGTGGACGGGGGTCTGTGCAGGGCCATGACACCCTCTGGGGGCCGGGGCAGCTTGGGGCATTGCAGAGGGAGGCGATGGGGGGGAGGCGCAGGGAGTTCTGAAAGGCACAGGGCAATTCTCCCGTACCCTGGGTCCCACTGATTTTCAGGAGTAAAACTGCAATGTGTGGCCCTCTGCCCCCACCTCTGTGTCCGCTGGGCTTCCTTAGGCAGCCGTGTGTGGGAGCAGACACCGGGCAGTATTTAGAAATCAGAACCACAGCCCTTCATCTAGAAATTAGTGAAAACTGAAAGCCTGACTAACACACAGCAGTTGCTGACTTGCAGGGATGTCTTTGCAGAAGCGGGCCAGCTGACTTGGGGGTTTCCACAGCTCCTTTTCGCTGGGTAGTTCAGGCTAATCGAAATTCTAAGAGGGACTCTGGGGGAGCTGGCACAGTGCGCTGGCTCCCTCTCCAGGGGGTATTCTAAGCTGAAATCCAGTGAGGACAGGCACCAGACTTGGAAAATGTAGCAAGAAATTGTCGTCTTCACTTCCCTGTCCACAGTTTTCATCAAATAGAAACTTTTTAAAAACAGCTTTAGCTATTTGACTCAATTTGTGTGTTTAGGTACCATTTATTTATTTATTCCTCTCCCCATAGTATGTTTGTATTAATTTTTAGAGAGAGAGGAAAAGGGTGAGTGTGGGGAGGCTGCGGGGGGAGCATCAATGTGACTCATGTAGATCCATTGGCTCTCTTACTAGATATGCTGGACTGGGGATAGAACCCGCAATCTTTCCATGCACAGGGACAATGCTGCAACCAACTGAGCCTCAGGGCTATTTAGGTACCTTTTAATAAAACTAATTAAGTAGATCATTTAAGTGGAAGAATCCAGTGGCCCCCAGAAGGGCCCCTCCTCCCTGCAGCCATTACTGTGTGTGTGTGTGTGTGTGTGTGTGTGTGTGTGTGTGTGTGTGTTGCCTTTTCCAGAAAGGGCAGTGTGGTCAGAAGCACCTGATGGCTCTATTTTTGCAGCTGGGGGAGCAATGTGGCTTACCCTGAGATGGTCCAGGCACTGGGGGAGATGGGCTGAAGACTCCCCAGGTGCTGTGCCATCCCACCTCTCGCTATTCATAAACCTTACAAGGAGGGTCAGATCCGCAGGAAACCCATAGCATCAGTAGAATATCATCTGAAAACCGATCTGGCCACGTCAGTATTTTGGCTGATGTTATGTAAAAAGCAAAATCTTAAAATAATATTATCCTCTTCTCTTGTGTTCGGATTCATTTGGCTTGACATGGAACTTACTGTTTTGGTTTCCTGAGAAATGCACATTTCTCTTTAGCAGGGTTGTGTTCTTTTTAAGAAAAATCATAAATAAATGTTCTCTACTGATGTGCCAGAGCTGCACCCTCTAAAGCGTGTGTAAATAAAACACTGCGTGATCCCATACGAAGGCCTTCCTTGTTTACCAAGAAGGTGATAAAGTGTTCTGGTGAAAATCCATAGTCCTGTAATCTTAAATTATTCTTCCAGGGCTGGGTAATATTGTATCTTAAAAAACAAACAAACACAACTTTCTGAGGTTATTAGTAAACGCATGTCACTGGAGCCCGGCAGCAGTTAGAATATGGAGCACAGAGTGTTTTCTTCCCAAGCTGTGGCTTTAGCCAGATCTCCTTGGAGATGAAAACTTTACCACCCAGAATGGCATTGTGGATTTTTTTCCCCCCAAGGATGCTTGTTGTTAGGTTCTAGAACTCATCTGCAACAGTTTTACAATCAAGCTACTTTTCTTATTCAATCCGCTTGCTTTCTACACATGATACTTGCTTTCTACACATGACATCTCACTATTCTGGTCACACCACATGCATTTCAGAAGTTTGTATGTAGCCACTGGAAAGCTTTTCATCCATCAGAAAAAAGGGCATTTCCAGACAACCCAGGAACATTCTGTGTGCGGTATAAGCTCCTGATGGAGAGTGGGCCCACTCGGACTTGTGGGAACTCCTCTGACATCTGTCCTGGGGAACATGTACCTGGGGTCATGCTGGGGGCTGCGGAGTTCTCTTTGCAAGGCTGCTATACTCATTGAGATATCTGACTTTGTACATACACAAGTGTAGCCGTAGCTTTCAGGGCCATCCCAGTAAGTACAACCCATGAGGCTACTTCAGATAAAATCCGAAGGCACTTTAGTCCTAGAGCCCAGACCTGAAGGATCTTACTTGCTAATCAGCTCGGTGTGTCTGTTCACGCTCCCTTCAGGGAGAAGCTTCTGGATTCTGTCTCCATTCCACAGGCACACGTGGTCAGTTCCAGGCCAGGTCTGTTGAGAAATGGTCCTATCCACACAGATGTGGTAATCAGCAACACATCAAGGAAATGTTGAGTTAGAATCCTTTCTTCAGGCAAATAGCTCATTGAGAAAATTTCCTCCTCCTTATTTTTCCTCAGAACGAACCAATTTCACAGCTTCTACCCCATTCATACCCCATCCAGTGTGACACGGGGGCCTGTGTGGATAGATTCCAGCCCTTGAGAGTGGAGCCTGGTGGGCAGGCTGCCAGCATCTCCTCCTTCAGGAGCAGAGCGTCTTTCCTGAGGCCCACCTGTCGTGGTGGGCCCCCCTCAGTGGGCCCGGGCTGCCCAGTCTGTCTCAGGGAGGGGATAGGACCCAGGCTGCACAGCCTGTTTCCTGCTGGAACTCATTCCTCTTGGTGGGGGCCACGGAGGGATGGGAACACCTGTCCATCCTGTGAACCAAGGGGGGGTTGGGGCACCTGCCTGTGACCTGAGAGAGCTCTCCTGACACATTTCGAGCCCCTAGGTTAAGGCCATGGGGTAGGCTTTTCAGCCCTGTTACCCCATCCCGTGTGAGCTGGGTGTGCCCTTGCAGGACAGTGCCTGGTGGTAGCAGGTGCTCCGTGGGGTCTGAGAAGGACACGCCATCCTGCCCATGAGCCTCTTGTTCACTGGGGACTCCGGGAGTGCCTCCTGAAGGAGGAGGTGCTTTAGCGGAAAAGGGTAAGCAGGAGCTGGGATGGGGGACAAGAGGAGGTGGCCAGGGTGGTTGCTGTGGCTTTATCGCTCATGCCAGGTCTATGCCGCCTGCCTCTGCCCTGCAGCTGCTTCCTGGCGAGTGAAGAGATGCCCATGATGCTGACAGGGCTCTGCTCTGTACACAGTGTCACATCAGGGCTGCCCTTGGGCCCTCACTTCCTCCCAAACCCCCCAGAGAGATGTCCTGGTCACCAGCCCTCCCTCCCTCCAGGGCAGGGCTGGGTAAGGTTTCTGGAGAACTCATCTGTTCTCTGTGAGGAGGGTTATGTCAACACAGCAGGACAGGAGGGCTCCAACCTAAACAGGCACTCAATTCATTTTAACATAATGAAGTTATTGTCCATGGAAAGCTTTTCTTTCCTAAGACTGTCTTATTTTACTGTTGTTTTTGAAAGCAAAAGACATCACTCCCATCACCGTTTATGGCGCAGGTCGTAAGCGGCTCTGTTGGAGCAGGGCCCACAGAGACACACTAACCAAGACTCAGAAGGGGACCTGGAGCCCGGGCCTGAGCCTCCCAGCCAGGCTTCTTTATTCTTATGAGGACTCACAGGATCTCCTTTGTTTAACTCCCTGATGGCTCCCTCTCTCTCTCCTATTTGGGTTCCCACAGTGGATTCTGTGGAACCAGAGGCCAGAACCCCAGCCATCCTCATCTCCCACCTGGCCCACACCCACTCTACCCTCTGCTCACCCCCTGCCAGGCCACACCCCCTCCACCCCTCCCGGGTGACCACCCACACCGGGAAGCCTCCTCTGGCCACCCCATGCACCACCCTGGGGTGGCGACCCTCTCCTGTGCCCCTGCAGGCCCCCTCAAAGCCTCCATTACACCACAGTGGCAGTGTCCCCACATGTGCCAGGCTTGAACCCCCAGATCAGCCCACCTCTGGGACCCTCCTGTCGGCAGCTTCTGAGTGAGCACAGAGTTTGCAGATAACCAAGGGGCAGGAAGCAGTGACCCACCCACAGCCTAGGCAGTGCCCACCCTGCTCCTCAGGGCTCTCTGCACCCCACACCCTCGAGGCTCACCAGGAACAGCTCACTTGAGAAGGCAAAAGGCAGTGAATGACAAGCAAATAATTGAATGCTAGCGCCTGCCACTGGTCACATGTCAACGGGAAGAAAGGCAGCTTGCGCATCACATCACGGGGAAGAGGTCTAGAAAGCATAGTCTCTTAAACAGGAAGGTAGTGTGTTAACACCGGGTTAGCTCGCTCCCCGTGTGCCTCTACTGCCTCTGGAAGGTTCCATGGGTCCGTTTGTAAAACAAAAGGGCTGCCGGCTGGGTGGATGGCCAGGTAAAAGGCTCCGGGGAAGCACTAAGCCATTTCTCCTAGAAACCTCTCTCTGTCCCACACAAGTGGTCACAATGTCATCTCCAGGAGGAAGTTCTGGAAAGTAGAATCCCGGGCAGCGCCCATAGGAAGAATGGCCCCCCTGAGGGGCCGAGAAGCCCTGCTCCATGTAAACAGATACATAATGGTGCTGCTTATGCAGAAGGAAGAAGCCTAGGACAGAGAGCTGGAGGTGGGGGCCGATCAGAGCCCCGGGGAGCTTGGGGAGCCTCCAGACCCAGGGCGGTTATGCAAAGGCCCTGATTCAGACAAGCATTTGACCGGAGGCTGGGCTGGAGGACTCATCCTCTGGGCTAAGGTAGACAGCTCGGATTTCATCCCAAGGGCATAGGGGGAACCTGCAGGATATTAAAGGGTGTGACGAGAGTTTGGTTTAAAAGCCTTGGGCTACTTCGCAGTGTGAGCTGGAGTGGGCGTGCAGGCGTGC